GCAGAAATCTTATTGAACAATTGAACCTTGTCTTGGCTTTACATTGAATCACAGACCATATAGAAAAAGAAGTGTCCTTCCCCATACTCAACAAAATATTAAAGGCAATGTAGATTAGAAAGAAAAAATTCTAATTTGACTGAACTGTCTTCCAAGCAAAAAAATACACTTGCTGCTTACAAAATGCAAGTTCTCTCTAGCAGGACTGTAGATTCAGAATTTAGAACTGGTCTTCCCTGATAAGCAGAATCACAATTGGCAAATTGAGGAGCAAATAACATAATAAGGAGTACATCAGATTAGGAACACCTAGAGGAGAATCCCAAAAACCACCTTTTGTGGAAAGGGTGGCTTAATCCATCAGCCTTCTGAAGCAGAGAAATACAGCTGGAGGCAGTTTGCTGAGTTAAATGAGGCACTGAAATGGCACCCTGCCAGCTCCATGTACTTATTAAAAATTTACAGCGTGTTATGCAGGAAAAATTCTTCAGGCATAGTTCTTTCTCATAAATTTAATTCCCTCAACCGGTTTTGTCATGCAGAGATTGCCTTCCTCTTCAGGACCCAGCTCTATCTTGTCCCCATGTAGCTTGCAAAAACTTGGGATATTGTTTCTGCACATTGTTTTCTTTTGGAATTTCTACTAACTTTGCAGGTCTTATGGAGGCAGAGTACTGTACATCGTGAAACTCCCATGTGGACTTGTTAAAGGTGTTTTGTGAGTTAGTGAATAAAGCAATCTGGATCATTGGAAAGCCTCCAGGACACCCCTACAACCTGTTGCTCTACTGAATAGATAACTCATAAAGATAAAACCATTATCTGACTGCAGATAGATCCTTTAATTTATCTAAGGTTCATTAAAACTACCCAGGGTATTTTCAACGGTACAGACCAGTGCCAGAGTACTCTTTTACTAGCAGCTGGATGTGGTGAAACATAGACTGAGACAAAAAGCTCTTCCAGCACTTGTCACCTGCCAAAACTGAGCTTTATATAAATGCAAAAGGAAGACACTAACGCAGGTGCTTCCCACCTTCTCTGCCCCACCCTGCCTTGCTGACATAAAGGTCAACAAGAGAGACAAATGTCAATTTAATGAAAATCAAAGCAAAATAAGATCTTTTTCTGAACTTTTCTTCATTTTCTATATCTTGTTTGAAGACTTATCTCAGATTTTCTCTCACAGAGTACATGGGAAGGATGCACATGAAAAATTTGGGACACAGGGTGTCTGACTCTTGCAATCTTCAGGAAAATTTATGCCTATTTTAATGAATTGACCCTGATTTCTGGATGAAATAATAAAAAAAAAACCTGGAAGAACCCAATGTTTTCTGATCTGCACTGATTTTTGACATTTGGAAGCATTTAATGAAGTCTGAGATAATGAATGCATTTACTGGCTGGCATTTAACTTGCTTATGTTTTCTTGGACAAGACTTTGTAATATGTTCTCTTGTAAACACTGGTAGTTCTGTCTGCAAAGTCAGCACTCCTACTTTTCCTAATTTGTAACTAATTTATAAATGGCAGAAAAACTTTGGGTATTTTACCAAAATGTTTAAATTTGGAAAAGCAACATTGATCAAAGTAATTAGAAACAGAAAAAGATAAAAAGCTGCTGTCAGTTACTATATTTATATATTTTTAGAAATATAATAACTGAAAAAACTTTATGAAACTGAACAGCCTGGAATTCCAAAGTGAAATCAATTAAACCAATATTGGAATAGAATGCAGTAAACCATATTATACTTAATCTTTCAAATGGATATAAAGTGTATAAGAGAACTTATAAGTAATTTGATTTAGAAAAAATATATTTGGTTATACTCTGTTGGTACAACACAAGTTTGATGTAGAATTAAATAAAACCAATATTTATTTCTTGTTGTTCACTATGATCAACATATTAAGATAAAATGCATGGTATAACAAAATTTCTATAACCACAGAAAGCACAAAAGAAGATGAAATGTATCATAGCACAATGTGCATGTGAAAGATTTCAAAGCGCATTTCATTCACTACATGGTGAGATTAATACCTTCTACAGAGACTGGCTGGGGAATGGACAATATTGCTGTGTTTTTCAAGAGCATTAGGCATTCTGTTTTTAAGGCAGTTCCACAGTATAATGAGCTGCCAATGAAACAATCAAATTCTGCCTATTTTTGGAAATCTCCTTTTGGCTTCATGATCTGTTAACAGGAGCTCAGTGTTCTGCAAGATACAGCCCAAACCTGGTTTTGATAGGAAAAGGTGAATTTGTGATTGTATAAGTATGTAAGATTTTATACAGGAGGCAGAATGCTCCTTTTCACAATCTGAACTGCACCTCACAAACCCATGCTAAATCAGGATGCCACACGGTATGCTTGTGATCATGGCTTTGAGAAATCTTCAAAGGAGCAATGCTTCACTTTCTTACCAAATGGCTATTCAGAAATGAATGATTATGTAAACCTTTTTTGGAAGCCAACACAAAATAAATGTCCCTGCAACATGGGACTAGTGATCACCAAGACCCAGAGCCTTAACCCAATATTAGGTTCCAACAGGTTCCTCCTTGGCCTGCTCAGTAAATAGGAAGAGGCAATGTTGCAGAAGATACAGTCCTGCTATTCTGTCATGTGCTTAAATGCCTCTCTAAATTAATCTCTAGTTTACATTTATATACCATTAATAATTTAAGAACACTGAAGTTTTTACTGAGGGTAAAATTACCATCCTACATACTCCATCAGCTCAGGGAAAACTATTGAAAACTCTAGTTGCCCTGGCCACAGAGCGAGTATTTTTCTATGCTGATACTGCTGATTCATAGCTCCATATGAAGTGTGCATTACATTCACATGCTGCATTAATGTACCTGCATACACAGAAGTTTGTCATGAAGGTCTCCCTCCTTTCCTACATCCCACACCTTACACCTCAATATGTCTGAGAAGTGCCATTTTTCAAATATAGATGAGCCTCAAACATACCTTGTGCTACTCAGGCATGAGGAGGTATAAAGAGGCATATAGTCATATTTTAAATACTGTTTCATTTGCTACTGTCCTTTCCATGACAGTCAGTGAGAAAATGGCCAGAGAGATGAGGTGAAAGAAACAGGGGACAGCAATTATGTTTTAGGAAGAGGTACTCTGACCAGACAGATCAGAAGAGACTGAGCTGCAGTTTTCTGCAGAAGGATCTTGTCCTTTCACTTCCTGCAGTTACACCATGTCCTTATCACTCAAAGAAAGTAAGATTGCAATTTGCCCATTCAACCACATACCATATATTATTTTTAACCTACCATATAAATGGCATCTCTTTTTAATCCTGATAGTCAGCTTTTCAGATAACAGGAAAGAGTATAGCAACTTGTTAATGTAGAAAATATATTTCCTGTCTACACAACCAAAAAAATGTTCCCATGATTTCAGTGTGGGTAAAATTTTAGAACTTTGGTGTGACAAAGGAGAATAATAAACAAAAATAAGGGAAGGAAGGATAAGATAAGGGGATGATGATGGGCCACAGAGTTTATGTATATCTTGTTTTTCATTTTTTGTTTGGTTGGCTTCTATTTTTATTAGTCTGTTGTTTATGCTTTCTAAAATAGTGTTCCTCCATATACAGCCACTGCTTCCTTCAAACTCTGCTGAGAAGCCTGGCAGGAGGTTGTGAGAGGAGCAAAGACATGCAAATTTTCCTAACTTTAACATAGCTTATTATCTTGCTCCTTCCTTCATTTCAGAAGACTGTGTGTTTCTGCAATTCATACAACTCTGAATCTAAGTGCTGTCCTGGAGTCCTTACTTCTGAGATGTTTGTATTTTGACCATAGTCAGAGGTGCACAGCATGGATTGGATCCTTGGAGATTGCTTCTGGTGATGTTCTTATTTGCTTTGTCAAAAGGATGTATCATTACTCAGAAAACATTAACCAAAAACATTTGCCTGAAGTAAATCCCTTAGCTGATTTCTATGAATACAGTTTAAAAAACTTTATATATGAAGTTAAATTTAATTAAGCCAAGCATTCCTGGCCATAGGGGAAAACAAGAATTCTCTTGTATGCCATAGCATCAGCTCCATGACAAGTGCTCAGATCCACCAGGAGACATCATGTGAAACAACTAAATAAAGCCATTGACCAGCAACTCATCCTGACACCTGCCAGGTAAAAGATGTCATATCTTAGATCATCCTCATCTATTAAGTCCCATCTCACAATGTGCATTCCCAAGAATCCCTGGTTCAGTTCCAAAAGCTGTCATCACATGTGCCTACAGCAGCCTAGATTGATGCCCAAGGAGTTTTACATGCTAATTTAAAATGAGAGGTTGGTACTTCTGTTGAGTCTTTAAACCTATTCTAATATAGCTGAGACAGAAAGGATCCCAGTTCCTGAGATGTCTAGACAATTTCTATTTTTGCATAAGAAAAATATTCAAAATATTGATGATATCATCTCATCTTCTTATTGATCTCTGCAGTACTGTTTCACTCAGCTGTAAGCATCACTAAGGAGTTTACATATACTTGCTGAAAAGACCAGTATAAAGAAGCAGAATTTACCAAAGATTCGTTAGGAAATTCTGTCTTGCATCAAACTTACACATATTTTGATATATGATGTATGATATGTTTTAAAAAAATCAACAAAAAACAACAACAAAGAACCAAACCCCAACAGATTTAGCTATAACTCCTGCCAAAAATGTAATATTTTTCCTTAAGAATTACTATATCAGCTTATCTAGTGAAAAAACATAAGATTAAAAAGTCTCTGGATTTTTGAATAAATCTCCAGAATATATTTTCAAATATTAGTGAGTTCCTCTGATCGTAAACGAAATTTTAGTCCAGCATTACATTTCATCAAGGAAAATATCTATCCAATGAGAGCTGTGAACAACTGAACTTAAATATTTATTTTTAACCACAGAGGATTTGCTGGAATCTAGATGAAAAGAATCAGTACTGTAAACCAAATTTCTTACCTCTGATGGATGTCCAGCTCTTATAAAAGTACAGAGTGGATCAAAAGCTCCTGTTCCACAAGCCAGAAGATGAGTCCTGTTGTATCGGTGAAGGACACGGATGTAGTTTGCACATTCATCCTAGTTTACATAAAAAATAAACACGGGGAAATATTAGCTTTTAAATTATTTGTTTTAGTATTTTATGTGCCCATAGGTGATGTTCTAATACTGAATCTTTCTATTCTATTTCACTTCATGTGCCATCAGTTTCATGGGTGGGCATTTTTACATTAAAAAGGCAAGTTTACAGCACTGATTGATTATGTCTTATTTTAGATGCTTAACCAGTTAGAAGTTAATAAATTATAAAAACATACTTTTGTGCTTCTTTACTCGTGAAAATAATCTACAAATCTGAGTAGATCTTTACTATTATTGGATAAATAAGACACATAAGATTCAGGGCATAAGATGTGAATGGTCAGCAAACAGCTTCTCTCTAGAGTGAAATACTTTATCTCAATAAAAATATAATTTTTAATTGCACCATTAATTTATTGTAGAATTAATTTTTGATCAATATTTTTTATACCTTATAGACACATACTTTGTCTGTTTCTACTGTTTAAACCTCTTTGAAAAAGAAATATTAATTTCCCCCAGGGCAATACTTTGGGACTCATTAGTGTATTTGCAGCTTCATAAATATTACAATTAAAACATTTTCAAACATCCCTTTGAGATGTGGGGTCATTATTGCTGTGCTAAACTAGAAATGGAGACAGTGAGATAAAAGTATCCCTTGATTTTGGGACTCTTGGGATTCCTGGGATTTGGTTTTAGATTTGGTTTTTGGCATTTTGCAATAGTTTCTGTGAGTGGAGCAAAATTACTGTTCATTTCCATTCATTGCCCAATATTTCTGCAACTTAGAACCCTGAGCTTTAAGAGTTACATCAAGTTTAAGACATTTAAAATGGAATTAATCTAAGCTAACTTTAGCTGTTCTAGCATTTAGACATGTAATTTATGGAATCCTCTCTGGTTTTTCAATAGCCAGTGAAGTAGGCCAGGCATCTCCAAAAGGCAATTAATACAATCCTGAAATGAACATGTAAAACAGAGTGGAGGAATTAACTTTTTTTAAAAAATTTCTAGCTTTTCACTGATAGCTGGTCTCATTTTTGGACTACTGTATTTGTGTGAGAACAATCCTGGATGTTATTAACCAACTGCAAGAATTTAATGGCAAAAAGGAAGAGTCTGCAAGGAATTAATGGGCAGAATTCAACACTTGCAAATCCACATTAGGCTCAAAACTAAGAAACCATCTTTCTTCTTTCTTCAAATTCCATGTAAGTCTTCCAAATGCTCCAGCAAATAAAAAAGGAAAGAAATCTCCCCTGCTACCTGACTCTCCTTAACTGTTCATCCTCAGGGTATAGCATGCTAATTCATAAAAGTAAGTAACCTACCCAAGACATAACCTGCTGTGTAATTAAATATTATGCATATAGAAAGGGCAAATCAACCTTTTAATATCTTGCTTTTGGAATTTCTTGATTTGTAACTAATTTGTTCCTTTTCATTTTTTAAGGAAATAAAAGCATCAAGTCAGATGAATTGAGAAAAGGATGTGTTGAAATCAACAGCATGCGATCCTCATTGTATGGATCAGCACTCAGAGGTGTCTACTTTTTATCGTCATTTCCCAAATGTTTGCTGAATTGCCGTAACAAAATGCTACTCCATAGGTATTTTATGATGCCATTAATTTTGTTAATAAATGTTTACTGGGTGCTGATGCTGTTCCTGATTCTCCCTCTCCTCCTTCGTGACTTATTCCCTTTGTTTGCTCTCAGTGGTCATCTGGTCTTTACTCCACAGTTTCCTTTTTTACCCACAATCACCTTCAGCTCTTGATCTTTATACCAAAATCATTTTAGGGATTTAAGATTTTTTTTTTAATGAGAAAAATCTATACTTTTTTTTTTCCTTCTGTGTGCCTTTGTAGGATTGCCTGAAAAAAAACTGAAAAAAAAAAAAATCCTAGGATGTGGAAATACCAAACATAGAAAAAACCTAATTCCAAATGGCTAGATTTACTAATTTATAAACAGATGACAAAAGGTGCTGTTCTAGGAAGTGTCAGGCAAAAAGGCATTGCTGATAATCCTACTAATAATATACTTTACACAGAGCAGGGAAGAGATGCATCATCCAAGGGGACATTGAAATAAGACTTCTTTATACTATATCAATTAATAAAATACTCGGGTTGTCTTTTGGATGCTCCACAGAGACATTAATAGATCTGTGGAATTTTATTAATCTGAAACTTCTCAGTGTGGAGGAGTAAGACATCTCTACAGATTTTCAATAATGATAAAGTAATTCAGAATAATTTAAAACTCTCATACCACAGACTAACAGGTGTGATTCCTGGCACACTGGATGACAGGTGAAGGATTTTTTTTTCTTTGCCTTCACTCAAATCAGAAAAGCATGACCTTATTTTAAGAGTATACATTTGTTGCTAAAACAAGCCTTTTAAAATTGTCCTATTAAGTCTATTACAAGCTCTTGAAATACTTATGACTACAGTCCTTGCCATTTTACTGCTACAACAAGAACTGATAACTTTTTAAGGTTATAAAAAATTGTAAAATGGCCAGTTCTGTTATATGGAAAAACGCAGCAAGGTACATGTGAAGTATTTCAGTGCTGAGAAGTATATTACAATAATATCAGTTCTACTTAATAATTATGCCTCGAGTAACAGATCATTTGCAAAGGAAAATAAAAAACAGAAATAGCATGGAAATAAGCAAAAAAGTTTGAAATAGAGAAATATTTGTCTAGAGCTTGTAGTATGAAAAATAGCATTAAAAATTAAAATTGACAAAGGGTTGATTTTAAGACATTATGTTTTTAAGTCAATATTGGTTTATGGCTACAAAAAATAAGGATGAAAAGAAAAGTAGTAGGAAGGGTTTCGATTCTAATTTAGATTCCTTTCAGGTTGTGTAATTTATCTTACTGAATGTTGAGCATGCTGATGAAAATTGCTAAGTTTTCCCTGATATTAATTAGTGTTACTTATTCACATAGTCCATACATAATTAAGTCTCATGTGAGAATCAGAATATTGTTTGGTATTACAATATTTCCAGCTTTTAAAATTTTAATCTATTTTTCTTAAAGACTCTGCTTCTAGAATCTTGTGATTATTTAAAAGGTTTTTTTTGGGGTTTTTTTTTTTGTTTGTTTGTTTGTTTGTTTGTTTGTTTTTCTGTAAAAGCAGTAGTTACTCCAAACCCTCATGGTGCAGAGAAATGTGGGAAACACATGAAGTTCTTTAAATGACCACATTCATAAAATGCAAATTTGACTATTTATAAGAATAAACTGGATTGCAAAAACGTTTTGAGTTTTAGGGAAACATAAGTCTAAGGGAGCTATCTTTGTTTTGAAACGAGAGCACCTATTTCTGCATTTTTTAACAAAACAAATATTATCAGAGTACCAAAAAATATGCAGTGGTGAAAGAAAGATTAGAGCTTTAACTAATAACAGCCTATGCTTAGAGGTAGTATCAAATAAAGGCCAAATAATTTAGGTTTTGGATTAATTTAATATGACCATAAAGTTCAGCCACTGCAGAAAACCACCATTTTCAACCAAAGCCACCTAAAATTATGTGGACATAAAAGTAACCTGAAAAACTAAAATGAACTCTTAAGAATCTCCAAAAATGATCAGTTCTAGACTAGGTGAATGGGAAGAGTTGTTTTTTAAAATTACTACTATTATTATTATTATTATTTGTTATTATTATTAATAACAATAACAATTACAATAATAAAAGTAGTAGTAGTAGTAGTAGTAGTAGTAGTAGTAGTAGTAGTAGTAGTACATTTCAATCTGGTTCCAATGCCTTAATATGGACAGTTCTCAAGCTTTTACTTCAGAAGAAATCTTTATAGCTTCCTAATTTACTGGGAGTTTATGGTGGTTGAGGCTGCTGTTTGTTGTGTTTCTGGGCAAAGCTCGTACATCCCCTTCCATGTCCTACATTCCTGTCACTGTTGCTGTAAAACTATCATAACTTTCTGATCCCTTGGTTCAGTGTGAGCTCTCTCAGCTGTGGGATTTATTAGGTGTACTCTCTGTGTGTTTATGAGGTGCAGATAATGAGCTTGGTGCACTGCAAAATTAAGAGAGCTCCCCACCAGAAGAGCTTTCATCCTGTGCTGCCAATGATATCAGCTGCTGTGTGTCAGTGAGCTTTCAGGTTTTTCCCAGGAACTAATTACAGTAAGGACACTGAATCACAAGAACAGAACAGTTCTGAGTTTTATTAAAACAGAGTGCTTTTATTAATGGAACAAGAATCCTATAGGGCAATATAAATTACAGCGTGTTTTATAATTATTAATAACCACTTTTTTGAATGTATTCTAGGGAATGTGAATTTTAAGGATAAACTGGAATCTGAATACAGAGGAGATAATACATGCATATGAAAAAAAACCCACGTAGAAATGGAAAAGGAAAATTATTAAGGTAACTTCTTTGATAGCAGCAGAATAAGAATTAGAAGAAAGTTTGGACAATCAAAAGCATTCATTGCCTGTTTATGAGATGGTTTGAAGAGCAATTAAATTAATAATTTAATGTGTTCACAGTAGTCACACGTTTTTAACCTGCAACACTTCACTTTATATCTGTGCTTTAATCTCTCTTAAGTTAGGGATGCCTGAATCCTTGTTTTGGGGCAGCCACTGGTATAATTAAAGTATATTTGATCTGTAATTAGTGATACTTACAGCATCTCTTCCTTTAATTATGCATTCTTCTGCCTGCAGAGGTGTACTAGGCCAGTGGATCTGAGGAAAAAAGAAAGAAAATAATTTAACTGGCAGTCTGATCATGGAAATCCAGCTTTTCCATGATTTTTCACATGTCTCAGATCAGAAGAACAAAATCATAGAATAGCCCAGGTTGGAATGTGCTTCAAACCCTCATCTGGTCCAGCTTTTGGTGGAAATGGGAGCCCAGGTGAGATAATCTATCAGTCCATCCTAGACATCTTTAAACCCCCAATTGACAGAAACTCCACCATGTGCCTGGCTCCTTGTGAAGGGAGAGCATCTCTCCTCTTTGAGATGCCATTTAAATGCTTAAGTACTGGAATACTGTGATAAATTCCCCTGAGCCTTGCTTCCCCTGAGAGAAAAGACCTTCAGTCTCTCCTTCCTTGGAACACAACTGTCTTAATTAGGGTAGCACAGCAAACTTATAGTATTCAATAGAATTTAAAGGAAGTTAATGTATGGCACATTTTATATAAATTCAGTAGAAACATCTATGCTAAATTGTCAGTGATTTTCAATATAGTTACTAATCTAGAACTACTGATTTCCTGCTTGAAGTCACACTTAGGAAAGAAAATAGTTTACAGTGAAGTTAATAAGGGTCAGCAATTAACCTTGTGGGAATAGGAGCAGCTCTTCATAGTCAGTTACTAGAAGCGAAGTCAAATTACACAAGTGAGGATTTTTCAGCCATCTACTGTATAACATTTAAGTTTCATCCAAGATGCATGATTTGTTTGGATGAAAACAATATTAAACAATGACTGATCACACTGGAATGATTACTTAATTTCTTACAACATTTAAAAGTGAAAACAAAAACATATTCACATCAGTGATATCAGGCTTGGCTGAAATCAAGTAAATATCCAAAACTGATGTCATCATTAAGACATTTTTGTCAATAATTCAATCATATTTTTTTTTTTCTGTCTGGAAAGTATTTTTTAGTTAAATTATTCTTCTAGGCTTTTTTTTTTCTTTTTTTTTTTTTTTTTTTTTTTTTTTTTTTTTTTTTTTTTTTTGGTAATTTAACTGTCTTAGTTTTCTTGAAATAATTCTAATCTAAGAAAATGATAAATTATTAGACAACTTAATTGCAAGACAAGTAGGGAAAAATTATTAATCTTAAATTCCTGGGGTTTAAAAGTGAAAGACCCAGTTCTCTGTATTATCTTCATTAATGAATTGGACATGGAAATCAAAGGAATACTAAGTAAATTTGCCAATGACACTAAAATGGAGCTATTCACTCTCTAGACCAGGACAAATCAGAGGACTGGACAGTCACTAATTGCATCAAGTTTAAGAAGGGCAAGCTCATTCTGCACCTGGGGCAGTGCAACCCCAGTGCTGTGTCTGGATCAGGGAATGAGAGACTGGAGAGCAGCTGCAAAAAGGGACCTGGGTGTGGGATTTTGTTAAATTAGAGAGTTTTGGGTGTTTCGTAAAAGGTAGGTTTTAGAGATAGCAAGATTAATGCTAAAAAATAAACAGCTCAAGACACATTCCTCAGCAGTCCCGTCCCGTTCGTAATTTGTAGTTCCCCAGCCAATAATACCTGGGGGTCGTGGTCAGTGGCAAGCTGAGTGAGACAGCAGTGCCCTGGCAGTGTTTGGGGCTCACAACATCTAATTCCAAGTTCATCACAATACCTGTTTTCAGTCAGATGGTCTTATAGTCGTCTATGAGTGATCAAAAACTGGCTCTCACATAGTCTCTACATTGCTGCTGTGTAGTGTGAAAAGGTACCTGGACTCTGCTGAACTCCCGTGAAAGCACTCATTCAGTCATCCTGCTCAGACCATTCCTGGTTCATTCATTGCAAAACTCAGGGTCCACAGTCATTTATTTTAGTCACTATTCAGGAATTGAATGAAGCATGGGTTAAACCTGTCCTTAACCCCAAAAAAAAACTAGAAGTTATGAGATCTCTAATCTTATAGATTCAAAGCTAAGGCTAAAAGTATGAAAACACAGCTTTCAGTTCCCAAAGACATGTTCTAACTAGCAGGCTAAAATGAAAGGTTTTGCCCATACAAGGTGTAGGTGGCTGTTAGGAACAGAGAAACCACAGAGGGAATAAAACACTTGACTCTGTAACTTGATATTAAATATGCTGTGTGTAGGTGATTATTTTTGCATTTGAATACTTAGTCCCAGTGCTGTTGAAAATACTTTGTATGTCCATTTTCCCCTTAAGATATACTGAATTAAACACATATAGAATTAAAAGAAAAAAGCCAAAGAGGTAACTTAATGCTCCTGCTTTTTCTGGAAAGTCAAAAAGCAGCTGCAGTGGAGCTACATAAATTTGGTCTTTGCCACAGAAAAAAAAGAATAAACCATGGAGCTGCAGAATGGTTTGGGTTGGAAGGGACCCTTAAAGACCAACTTTGACCACATGCTATAGTCAGGGACATCCTTTACTGTTGCTCAAGGCCCCATCCAGCCTGACCTTGAACAGCTCCTGGGACGGAACATTCACAGCTTCTGCATGGAAAACTGTTCCAGGGTCTGACCAGGTTCATAGTTAAGAAGTTCTTCCTAGTATCTAATCTAAATCTACAGTCTTTTATTTTAAAACCTCTGTCTCTTGTGCTGTCACTACAGTCCTTGAGAAAATTCTCTGTCTTTCCTGTAAAGCCCCTTTACAAATTGAAACTGCAGCATAAGGTTTCCCCAGAGCTTTGTGTTCTTCAGGCTGAACCCCAATTCTCTCAGCCTGTCTTTATAGGAGAGATATTCCACCCCTCTGAACACTTCTGTGGCCCTCCTCACAAAATTACCAACTTCTAAGGCAAGTCCATGTTCATTGCCTGCAGTACATGGGTCTGAATTATAATTCTCGTAAATAGATATATGTCTCCTGAAGAAGTTTTTCTATCCAGAAAATATTTTTAAAACTCATAACTCTTGCAAGGCTCTTGAGTTTTAACATAAATGAATATAAAGATTTTAATCTCTTCAAGAATATTTTAGAATTGAGACTAAAAAATCTCTGCATGTCAGATTTTGCTATCATACCTAATTTCAAATTATTATAACATAGGATGTGTTTGCACTGCATGAAAATCCAGCTATTAATCAGCTGTAATGTATTCAGTCTTTAACCTGCCATGTATTACTTTTTTCTTATGTTTATATTTAAGAGGTGTGACAATTACCAGCCTTAATTTTTAATTGGTTCTGTGCCGGGATTACAATCATTTGGCAAGATATCAATAAGAATTTTGGGAAATCTGACTGCATATAGAAACAGTACCAGCATCACACTGGCATATATTCTTCTGGGCTGCAGTCTTGACATAACTATTGGCTTGACCATAATTTTTCAAAATTTTTCACCACTTTAGATTACTGTGAATTAAATTTTTAAATGGCTTGTTTAGTGATGTTTTCTCACTAAACCACAGTATTGTCATCCTTGAGATGTTGATGATGTAATTTTAGCTTTGTCAAGGATAAAGCACTGTAGGAAAAAGGTATTTTTAAATATACTTTTTAAAATTAAGTTGTAAGGAAGTACAGATATGGGCAAAACTTTAATTGGAGCTGGAATGCTAATTAGTGTCTGCAAACATCCTCTCCATTCAGCCACTAACCTTAAAAAACAGGATGGTATCAATAGTACAAACTAATTTAAAGAAATTATATGAGCTTTATAGCACTTCAGGCCAAGATAGACTACTGTGTGTTCTAGGCTGAACTCTAATTTGTGACGGGGCAATTAAGCAATTCAACCAGCAGGTCTCTGGTTTAATTCAATAAATAGTGCTTAATTAACAGTTAATTTGTGCTTGGCTGAAGCACAAATTCTTAAAAAATATCTGCTGATGACCGAATATTGTATATATTTATCAACAAATACATGACCACCTTCCCTCTTGGAAGGTTATTCCAACAGATAATCAAACTCACTAAATTGTGTTCTTTTTATTTCAGTTTACATTAGTGCACAATCCTAGACAGTATTCAAAGACATAAGCAAGCCCTGCTCTTGCAGACTTGTGTTCAGCCAGCTCTGGAGTGAAGTAGAGCTTCACTAGAGGCAAGATATATAATGAAGTCTCTAAAATTTCTTACATCAGAAATATAAAACCGAATCTGGAGCCATCTCACACTAGGTGAGAAACAGCTCAATTTAAATCTGCCTGCACAAGCCCATTTAGAGAAGTGGGAAGGTTTCTATTCAGACTCAGACATTCCTAAGGCCCTTGAAGAATAAGCTATCTGTAAGGAATTTGTGGGCAAATAGGAAGAGCAGTCTATTTTCACTCCAGCATGAGACAAAAGGAGGAACAAATGTCCCCTTTCTTTATGAGCTGTTTGACCAGTGGTGATGTGGCACTGGCTCAAGTTTGGTGTTAACAAAGATCCTCTCTGGCACCAATTCAAATGAACTGCAATGTTTTTAAAAACAAATTTGGCACCAGATACCAAAGAAAGTTCTCTATATGTTAGATCACTACAAGCCTTTAAGGCTTTGGACCAAATCTCAAGTATGAGTAAGGATTTATTCCAAAGATGGTGTCAAAGGGATTGAGCTCTTAAGGAAAGCAAAGGTTAAGTGAAATGTGCCCATAAAGCTTTGTCTTTACACAAGGTTTCGAGTGCTTATACGGCTCTAATTCTCTGTAAACACTGATACATTTCATATTCTCCCTCATTCTTGCTACTCTTAGTGTAAGGGAACTCTTCATATAGAAACAAGACATCTAAGTAACTGTTCAAAAATGTATAGCATTATGTGTTAAATACTCTAAGCAAGAATATAATACACTCTGTATGTATTAAATGAGAGATACAAAGAGCAAAATAGGCAAAATAAATGTTATTTGACAAATAGAGAAGCGAGAGTCCTTCCCTTTCCCGGGTGACATTGCCACAGTTGAGAGCTCAACCCAAATGTCTGGGTTTCCCCGCCAATGCAAGAATGACAGTAGTAGTATTTTTTTCCTGAAGGTCTTTACCTCCAATTTTTTAGGATTTTTTTAATCGTATATGCAAATTGGTGGGGATAAAATGTATTTAAAATAATTTGGTAGAGATTTACATAAACAGCCACTAGTTTACATGAAAAAGCGATAATCTACCCTTCAGTGTTGCAGTGTATTTGAAAGCTGAAGAGAATTGAACCTGAAGAAAACATGAATTCTATTAAATACAGATTTATAGGAGACATACCTCATATGCATCACAAGTAAAGTTGTTTGAAATGTTGGATTACTTTGGCAGTCAACAGGTCTCAATGCAAAAGCATTTTATGTCTACTCAGCATTTAGTTGTTTTTCTTTGGGATAACTTCTAGTATGCTAGCTAGAACAGAATTCTTTGGTCATTTTACAGCAAAAGATAAATTTCTAGTTGGAAACGGATCTCAGTTTGGTTTTTAGAAAGCATATTCATATTCTAAATTGTTGAGAAATAGATGACTATGAATTAAAATACATAAACAGTTTTCTGGATCACAGAAGATGAAGATGAATACCAATCTGCCCAAAAATTCATGAAACCTTTATTTTGCAAACAATGAGTCATTTTGGTTACCAGAGAGAGAATAAAACCCAGGAACTTGCCTGCACTCATACACTTTCAGTGGATTAAAATTTCTACTTTAGATTAATGAAGCTAAACTCTTCAGTCAAAAGAACAGGTCAAAGACTAACCAACACACAGTTAAACCCCAATTAATAAAGAACTTTGGTAATAATTAATCAAACACTCTCTCAACTCCAGGAACTTTCTCTAATGTATCTCAGCAATTAAGGGTTCCTATAACAGAAATGTCTCATTCCACACTTTTGCTGATAAAGCTGTAAGGTGATCATACTTTCCTTAACTATCCCTGAATGAGATCTGCACTGAGTGAACTCTGAGAAAAAGAGAAAAAGCTCATGCCATTTGTACTCAAGGCAGCTAGGTCCCAGTGAGATCATGTTTCTAAACATGCCAGGCCAAGCTTCATTTATTTCAGTTTCTCATCTTTAGCATAAGAAAAGGCAAGAGGAGTTTTCATCACTTTACCATACTCTACATAATTTCCAGACAGAGAACATGGTTTCATAGTAAATGGCTGATATTCCATTTAAAAACAAGAAAGGGAACAATGAACTTCACGTGTGTCCAGATGGGATGATGGTGGTTGGACAGAAGCATGAAGTGCTCTATCCTGTCATCTTTACTCACAGGTTTACTGCCAAGGCGGGAGGAAGAGAGTGGGGACAAAAAGCTTATTTTATAGAAAAAAATGTTATATAAATGTTTTCATATCTGTGAGCTGTAACATCTTCACACAGGATATTAATAATTTGTATCAAAGCAAAAAGGAATTAGCTTATATCTCACTGTTGAGGAACAATGCTCAGTATGTAACTCTGCCCCCTGAGCAGTTAAATTTTGGGTTTTTTTTAAATGTAGTTAAATTCTCAAATAGCCTCCCTGAATAGATTCATACGCCATAACAAGGATTGACATTCCCAAATGTTTATAAAGAGAATAAAGCATATTATATCTGTTCACAGTAGTGGAACATGCTAATTATGTTTGGACATAAGCAAAGATAACTATGGTAAAGTTGGCCAGAGTGTTGATGTAAGATTAGTGATATTCACTTTTAGCAAGGGGGCAGAAAGAAAAGAATTTGAGACATCAGTGGTCAGTGCAGTATAGAAATCAACAAAAATATTTATCCCAAGTGACTTTATTTTATTTTACTCACTTGTTATTCTACTTATTAATTTTCAAATAAATGAAAATACATCAAAACACATTCGGAAAATTTAAAGAAGTAGATAAGGAAAACACTGAAAAATCTTAAGAGATCATTTATCTGCATTCAAAATGGTTGAACAATGGAACAATGCTCCTGCCAGCTTCCCTTGCTACTGTATGTTTCCAATCCTAGCTTCCAAGGGCAGAAGTGAGTAAGGAATCCAAGGCTGACATCAGCTCAGACTCCAGCCTCTGCACTTCAGTTGTCAGTTTGCCAATCACTTGTGGTTTCTACAATGTACTGAGTTCTCTGGTAGGATTATGACTTAACCCACCCCTCTCCCATAGACCACAGAGTAGCCTTCAAATGCCACTTTCAGTCATTGTGTAATAGTACCTCTGGCTCAAACCAATGCAAAATGAGTTTCTAAAGAAGGTTAGAAATCCCCCAAAACTGCAGGGTTGATGCTGCTATTGAAAACTTCTTATAGTTTACAAGTTTAGTTTTTTTCTCCTTAATGTTTTCTCTCCTGAAGCTCCAGGGAAATTTTATTCCTCAATAATATAGTGGAGATACAAAAACCAGATGTCTACAAATGTAAGGTGCTCTAAACATCTGCAACCATGTTGAAATTCAGTGAGAAATAGTTATTTGACCCCAAGTCTTTTCATCCAGAGTAAGCCTTATGGTTGAAGAGGGGGAAAAATGGTAATTAGTGTATTTTTCTTAAATATAAATATGACCTTAGAGTTTGTGCACAAAACACCTACAAAAACTCCATTACCTCAGCCATGCAAGTTCTAATATCCTGTGCTACGTGTTGCACCATGAAGTGAGTAATATATATAAATATATATTACATATGTGCATATATGGCTTTTTACTCCACCTCTCGGTAGTTGTCGCTGATTCGATCCAAACTGAGGGAATACAAGAGGTCTCTTCCTCCCACGAACAGTCGCTCTTGATACTCATCCAGCAGCATGATGTGAAGTCCAAGATATCCAAATGGGCTACGAAAGACTGACGTCCTGTTTAAATCCCAGAGCTCTGAAATACAATCAGAGTGTTCGTGATAAATACCAAAGAGCTTAGCTTTCATGGCTTCATTTTCATATCCTCCTAGGGAACTGGGAGAGAAGTTGTGGGACATTACAATGCTAAACATATAATCTTTGAGTAAGAAAGAGACACGAAATGCCTGGGAATAATTTCCAAACTAAGCCAGCTCTCCAGGAGGTTTCTCTCTGAGTCTTTACATCATAATCTTTATGCCTAAAATATGAGATGGGGACAGTTGAAAATTAGTTTTCTCCTGGACATTTTCTGAAAAGGAAAAAGAACTTAGAACAATAACTGCAAATGGAAAAAAAAAAAAAAAAATAGAATTAACGGAAATTGAAAAAATACTGGAAATTGTGTCCTTGTCTTTCAATTATGTCAAACTCCAGGTTTTCAATGTACACACTATTTTACCTGGGTTTGTATTTTTAGGCATTGTGGGTTTTAAGCTTAACTGTCTTCACTCAGTTCACTGAATCTATTGCCTCTAAATTCAGTGAAAACAGTATGAAATCTGTGAAATGCATATGAATAATTTTCCAACACTGATTTTGTCAAGAAATGCACTGACCTAATATGGGAATCTGAGGTTAAGTTGTACATGATCTAGGCTAAAGCCAGTTCCACTGAGAAAAATAAATTAATTCTGGGTACTGTTGCAGAAACTTGGATTCAGGCCTCAGGAAGCATGAAAGAGGTGAAACATGGAGATCTGTCTGCACTGGGGTGCAGAGCACAACCTTGCTAGCAGCAGGTCAGAAAGGCTGAAAATAATTTTGTTGTTGAGAAGCCTCAAAAGGAATCATTTGAGAGAGTACCCTTGGACTCCCTCCAAAACGACAGTGCTTGAACTGGGGGAAAGCAACTATGTTCTTATGTCTGTACTGTGGCAAATTGTTCTATTTTGAAGAAATCACTTCTGGTAAAAGGAATTAAATATGCTTATCCTCGCAGCTTCCCATGAGCATATTTTTTTCAGTTGTTTGGTTGTGGTCCTGAAGTGAATGTTGGAAGAAGTGGGATTGTTCCTGAGCTAGAGAAGACAAATGATCCTCCATCCAGTTTGGAGGCTCCTGCTCACATGCCACACCAGCAGTTCTGTTCATTTGTCCACTCTGCACCTTAACAGCAATATAGAATCCACAGCTGATGTTCTGTAAGCAAGAAATTTAATGCTCAAAAAAAAAATTAATATAATCCAACAAATTGACAACATTCCTATTAATTTTAAATTACTAAGTATATTGTGTTTGTGTGTGATAAGTGATTTCAGTAATAAGATAAAAATGTTTTACTTCATTTACTAGGTAGGCTGAGTTCAGGTCAACAGAGGCTAAAAGTAACTAGCTTCTGAAAGTTGTTTCTTTAGATGATAAAATTTACATCAAAAGAGTTGTACTAAAAATTCAGCCCTACATATGATGTCTTTCTCAAGTGATCATCAAACAGAATCTATTGAATAGTTGTACCTGTATGTGACTAGCCTCACTTAACAAATGGAAAACTAAGTCACAGAGAGGAACATCATGATTAGGAGAACAAGAGATTTTTTTGTCTAAGCATTGCATAGTAACCAGTGGATACATACACATTTTTTGACAGTGATACACTCAGCACACAGCTGCACAGCAATGTGGAAATGGCACTTTCAAAGCTTGCTCCTGCCAAGCAAATGAGCAGATTGCTGTTTTGGAAGAACATTGCTTGTTTCTGAACAGATTAGAAATGAAATGAAAGCAGAGCTAGAAATACACTTTTGGTCCTAAATAAAGCCAGTTTTTATTTGCAAGAATATAAATCATTCAATATATTTTCTTTTTTAATCAGTCTTGGAGTGAAAAGAATTGCATTTTAAATTCCAGATATATACAGAAAACAAAAGGTTACTGTGGTAGCTTCCTCTTATTTATTTTCATGTGGTCCTGAAGGCAAATTGTTCATAAATGAGACAATATTTCTTTACATAGATCAGAGATATGACTCATGTGTTCTCATAATGATGAACAATTCTCTACCTGATCACATAAACTGATAACTGCTCATATAAGACTCAGTCTCACAAAGCACACCTGCAAGTCCTATTGTCTTAAAGGGAAGTTAAGAATACAAAACATCTTTCAAGATAGAACTTGTAAAAAGAGATGTTTCTAAGACTACATTCAGCAAATTACACAGACATGGGCTTGCTGTGGAGGTAGAAATAAGAATAGAAGTGAACCCTACATCAGAAACGACTAGAAAACAACAAGCAGCTGGGATTGGAGAGTGATTTTGTACTGAATCACAAATGTAGCAGCATTATGTAGATCCTTTGAAAGGTAGTAGAATTTCCGTACATTGTAGGATATACATGAGGTATTAGGATAATGCAGCACATCATTGAATGCCTGGAGAATGAATGGAATATCTGGAAGTCTAAAACAGTACTAGAAGCTTTCCATTTCTAGGCAAGTGAATCTCACCGTGGTGTGGTTTGATGTAAATGACGCAGGTTCTGAAGCAGTAGAACACCATTTTTGTTGTGCTATTCCCCTTCAGCAAAGGTGGGTTGGCTTCAGGTTAGCCCTGCAGGAAAGCAGCTGTACTGCTTCTGGACAAGCTGCTGCCTCCACACATAGCACAGCTCTCATACTCACACAAATGCATTGTTAGTTCTTAGAATCACAGAATGGTTTGGGTTGGAAGGGATCTTAAATATCATCTGGTTCCAACTCTCCGGCCATAGTTTCTTCAAGACCAGGTTGCTCCAAGCCCTGTCCAACCTGACCTTGAACACTTTCAGGGATGGGGCACCCACATCTTCTCTGGACAACCTGTGCCAGTGTCTCAATATCCTCACAGCAAAAGATTTCTCACATTTAATCTCAACCTATGCTCTTACAGCTTAGAGCCATTACCCTTTGTTTTATCACCACATGCCCTTGTGAAAAAGTTCCACTCCAGCTCTCTTGTAGCCCCTTTAGATACTGAAAGCTGTTACGAAGTCTTCCTAAAATTTTCTCTTCTCTAGACTGAACAGTCCCAGCTCTCTCAGCCTGTCTTTATACTAGAGGTGCTCCAGTCCTCTGATCATCTTTGTTGCCTGCTCTGGACTTGCTCCAAACAGGTCCACATCCTTCTTATGTGACTAAGCATTTCAGTTGAGCACAACTCTTCCTTTTACTGAGTTTCTATAGATTTCTGTGACAAAAAAAACAAAACCAGAACCAAAACAAAAAATCAAAGCCAAAACCAAAACAAAAACCAAAAGAAAAAAAAAAGATAATTCTGTAAAGGTCTTGCATAAAGAAGCAAAAAGCCAGAATCACAGAGGATGAATTATTCAGGGTCAATATATTGCTAGTACTCAGCACATAGAAAAAAAAAAAAAAGAGATAATACTTTTCCTACCCTTATCTTTTGGTAAAAACAAATCTTCTGTAGTACTGATCCATAAATTTGAGAAAATATTATCTTTTGTGCTATAGTGCTTTGCCATTTTAATCTAAAGACTCAAGACCATAATTAAACCCACCCCATGTATAAACAGCATTTTACTCAACAAAGGAGAGACTGCTTCAATATTTACATACTCCTATATGGCACTTCACTTTACCTGTGCAAGCTTTAAAGCAAGTCTGGACTGCTGAATTACATTTCATAAGAGACCAAATCTTATTTCTTTCTGTTTTAAAAGCTGAGAACAAACTGATGGTTTGCTTTCTGTCTGACAGAGTTTGTCGGCAAATATTCAGGCTAATCTTGCTTACCACACTATCTCTTATAGCAGATCTCCTTTGGTGAACATATTCATACTGTATCCTATTTGACAAAATGAATTCTATTACACATTGGTCTAACAATGTTAATTATATTCCTAATAGGCAATTTCTTGGATATTTTAATGAGTAGTATATAATTCTGACTTCTAAGATTATTTTAGAACAGTAATTTCTTCAATTAGAAAAAAAAACCCTCTATTTTTATTTCAATGTTTTAAATATAAATTATTGATAACTTATATATGCTTATCTAAACTCTTATGCTTAGAAAATTAAATGTAAAAACCTCAATTATGCTCCACAGCAACCAGACTATATTGCCACTTCATTTTTAACACATTTTCAGAATTTAAGCACACTTTGAGTAATGTATAATTTTGGATCTTGAATATAGACAAATACCACTGTAGATTTTTAATCTTTTTTATTTTTCCCAGGGAGTGACAAAGCTGCTGTTGCTCTGCTCTGTTCTTCATAGCATTACATCATCACAACTGCACAAGTCTATTCCCTTTGCCCTTTTTTGCCCTCATAAAAATCTTTGGCTCCCCTTTTAAATTCTTCAGAAACATAGTCTCACCTCCCACACTACTTCATGCTGCAGATCATTCTTCCAGCAGAGATGTTTTCCAGATGCTGGGCACTGACAAATGAGTCCACATAAGGTGGATGCTTCAGTGCTGCTTCACAGGAAGAGTTAATGGCTGGGGTTGCCTTCTGTCCTCATCAATAATGTGAAAGGCCACTGATATAAAGTCTAGGTAATGTGAGCACCTGAATGACATCTTATGGTTCAAATTATTGGCATAGTCCTGGAATATAGATCTGCAGTGGAACAGGTTTTCCAAGAACTTAGTGGACCTTATGTAATTTTAATTATTTAGCTTTTTTGCTATATTGCTGACAAGTGATAACAAAATCTGCTTGCATGTGACAAGAAAGAGACAGAAACAAAAATGAGGAAAAATAAAAAGAGACATAGAAGAGAGCCTGAACTATCTGTGACACAGTTTATGAACTAGGGGTCAATGGTAAGACCAGGTAATATATGTATCTTCTGTTTTAAAACACTGGTACTTTAAGGCAAATATTTATTTGAGGATACTCTAAAGACTCATCCATCACAAGGACAAAAACATAAACTTAAAAGTGGTTGAATCTTTTTTGACAAGGTTAAGACCTCTAACTGGCAATATTCTATATAAAATTAATAGGAAGCAGAAGATT